AATCTTGTCAATTATTACTCCCATTATTACACTTCTTTTTTCATTACATGTTGTCCCAAAAACACATTAATATGCTAATTAGATTTAGTTTATAGATACATTATATATAATGAGAAAACCTGTTTATGGCCATTTTACACACATTTTGCATGAAGAAAAATGGTATATCAAATAATTCTGTTATAACATAGTTGAGAATTATCTTTATACAAAGTTTGGTAAAAAAAAAATCCTGAAAACTAAAAATGTATTGGTGATTTACAAAAAAATTAATTGTTTTTGCCTATGCATGTTTATTCATGTCTTTTTATTTTATTTTTTAAAGAAATTGAGTCCCGATGTCCTCTACCAAGGACGTAGCATAACTTATCAATGAAATATCATTAAAAAAATGTTTGTTTACATTTTTTTATGCTCTAAACAATGTAATGACATGAAAAAAATAAACAAAATTCCTAAAAAGTTTTGCTGGGTCTTAAGAGGTTAATGTAGGTCAATAAAATATATGTTTTGTCTTTGTGACATTCCGGCGATATGACTATAACGTCAACGGACAACATTGTAGAATGTCACTGCTGGTATTAATCAACAACAGGCAGGACCTATGTCTTTTTTATATTATTTTTTAAGCTCTTTAAACACATCACTCTGTTACATACAACATTTCAGACGAATATTAATTACAAATGTTATGTGTTCACTACCTGGCTAGCGATGTGTGTTCGTGCTGAAATATACTAAAAAAGGGTTGCCTTTTCAAATCTTCTATTCCATGTCATTACATTTAGCTGGCTTGTGCATTTTGTGTTTCATGCTTCAGAAATGTGATGCAATTTCCGGTAAAGGAGCATAGTGAGTATCAATGCTCCTGTCATGATCCCAGTCTGTGTTCCTCTGTCTTGTGTTCAAGGACTTTTTATGTTGAAGTGTTTTTCTGCCCCAGTGTTTCTGTCTTCACTTCCTGTGTTTAGTTCCTGTTTCCTGTTCTACCTTGTTTGTTGTCATGTTGATTCATTGGTTCCAAATCTTGTTAACCTTGTTAGCCCTTGTATATACCCCTGTGTTTGCCTTGTTCATTGTCAGTCTTTGTTCCTGTGTTCCTGGTGTATGTTTTCCTGGTGTAAGCTTCTGTTCCGTGTTTCTGGTTTATGCTCGTAATTATTCCCACTGCAAGTGAAATCCTCTGCCTTGTGTTTCCATGACTCCATCATTACAGCTCCCTAGTTTATGCGGTGCATTGTGGGATTTTTCAGGGAGTGAAAGTTGCTGCACTTCCCTTAAAATGGATGACTCCCTGATCAGTGCCCTGACTACTAATCTAGGGAGGTAATTGAGATGCACCCTAAGTTTTGTGAGCGGGTGCGAAATTCCACGAAAAGGGCGGATGTGTACAGCCAAAGCCACTTTAAGGCAAGCCTCAAAGGCCGTAAAGGTTAGCAAAAAAGCATAAAGCTGTGGTACACACAAAAGGAAACCAGTGGAAAGACGCTTTATGGATGGCAATGAGGAGAGGCTTCACTACGCTGAATAAAATACAAAGTTCTGTCATGAAACTGTAGATGGCGCAGGGTTATAATCACATGATATAATCTGATATAATCACATCATTCACATGCTGCAGCTGATTGGTTTCTTTTCACATCAGCAGCCAATGAGCTTGCTGCTCAACATTCAAATACTTCAGAAACCCTCCACATCCCCAGCTCCACCTGTATAGATCTGCTATGGGGTAATGTCGTGTATGTTATATATAGGGGTTATTTCATATGTTATATGTGCAGCAGCAGTATTTCCTACATGCTCACAGCAGCATGTTGTGGATGCATTGGCAGTAGCAAGTCTCGGTACTTGCTCTGCCGCCGCAGCAGCTTAGAAGATCATTTCCATCAAGACCAAACACATGAACTTTGCCAGTTTATCAGTTAGTGAACAACATGTTTTCAACAACATGCTTTCAAGAACATGTAATCTTCAACAAGTTTTCCATTAAACATTCCTTGTGGATTGATCTATTTTTAGAGTTTACACAGAAAAAAAATGCTGTTTTATGAAAAAGGTCTTGGACAATTTTGCGACAGGTTGGATTCAGTTTACGGCACTTCTCCTTCATTTCTATGGTCTCCGAAAACAGTGAATGACTGTTGCACAACTGAAATTCAGCGATCTTAAAGCTAATTGGTTATGAAGGCAAATGTGATCTAAGTTGGCCGTTTCAGACCTTGGTATTGTTGCCCAATAAAAAGATCATCTCTGGTACAGCTATCCACTTTAGTTACTATATACGACAGTAAATTACACTTGCTTGACTGTAGGGGGCTCCAAAATTGCAAAAATAAACAAAACAACATACAGTTGCTTTAATGTTTATTGTTATTTTGAAGCATGCATTATATTTTCTGTTGTGTACTAAAATATCTAAGCAGTGAAGCTAGCAAAGACCAAGATTTTTGCACTTTTCACTTTTTTTAGTTTACCTCAAATTGAATGGATGATGGTAGATGATAACACAGGTGAAAACATCCCATAGACTTACAGTTATATCATATTATTTATATCAAGAGACCAAATATAATGAGACTTGCTAGTGGGCAACCACCTAGTAATTCCCTACTATCCTGGAAACAAACCACAACACCCTAGCATTGTGGAGGTGAATTTAGCATTTTGTAGTTTATATAAAGCGCATGGGTGTAAATCTGGTAGTCCAGCCAAAATATCCACTTAGACAATGAGCAATGACCATTTTGTCACACTACAGTGTAAATGAGCAGTCACCAAATCATAACAACTACAGTTCTGTTCACTGGAACCCAGACATTTGTTATGACGTACAAGTCATGAAAGAGTTTAAAACAATGACACCATGGCTTCTCAAACTAATAAATGAAGGGTGAACCACAATAACACACTATGAGGCAAGGGATTGTTTCACTCACATTTTGTTTTTAATTAGATTTAAGGGAAATTGAAACAGAATTACACTTTGAAAATTCCCCTTCATTCCAATTCTTGCATAAAAATGGCCTAAAGCTCACATTAGGACTAAGAGGGTCTCCCTATCTAAATGTAAAGCATGCAGTGATGTCTGATTTCGTAATGTGTCTGAAAACACAATATTTACCCTATATTCGTGGTGACTGCTAAGGCATGTATCATAGAAGAAAGTCACCAGAGAGAGAAAGGAAAGAGTGGGAGGAGGTTTGAATAGTGACCAGAAGATGCAGAAGTGTTTCCCTGGGTCTGAGGCTAATGCCTGTGATTTCAACAGAGAATCTTGCAAGACGGACTTCCTTCATTATGTTCCAGCTGTTCCGATTTCCTTATTTCTCTTTACATAGAGAAATAATAAAACAGTCCTGACAGACTGCATTCTGTTGTCCTATGCCCAAATGATTCCTCTCATTAAATCACATTACACTGACACACATTATCCTTATACATTGAAGGACATTTTTTTTCTTCCCCAAGAATTCAAACTTAACATTTCAAACATGGGAAATATCAGTCAGCATCTTTAAAGGGCACCAAACCACATCTTAAAGATAGTAAATTAATCATAAATCGAAAGCAACAGAATAAGAAATCAGCAAGACGTGACAAAAAAACGGAGCACATTTCTTCTCACGTCACACTATATTAAATGAAAGACATTACATAATATAACTATGAGACAGTTAGCAACTGTAACTAAGGTTGACCCTATTACTGACAGTCTGGGAAATTCTGATGGATGGACACAAATTGCGCAATTCTCTTTTGCGCCATGATCTTGTGTGAACTTGTGTGACCTCACGTGCCAACGTCAATCATGAGTGCGCATATATATATATATATATATATATATATATATACAGTGGGTACGGAAAGTATTCAGACCCCCTTAAATTTTCTGTTACAGTTACTGAGAAAAAATGTGTAATTAAATTACAGTTATGAAAATGTTAATGATTATAAAGGAGGGTTACATCTGAATATATTCAAACACATAGAGTTTTTATTGATTTCCTTCCAAAATTGCATTGCCTGCTCTAAAACACACAGGACACATGTTTCTTTGAGAACTGTTTTATTTCCTATTTGGGTTTGTGTATATGCTTTATTTATTAAATTAACTGTTTTTTTTTCGCCCAAGGCATTGTAAGATGCCAGTGTTTCCTGTCATATGCAAATATTTGATTTCAACAACAGTATCATAGCTATTAAATTATATCTTGTAATGATTAATACGGTCTCCAAGAAGAGGTGCTTAAGTCTGATTTTGTGGTGGCTGTGCTTTAAAATTAAATGATTATAATCTTATATTCAAG